TCCCGAAAATAAGACCTAGCCTGAGTTTTTCACATGTGCTTAATATAAGCCTTATCCCCAAAATAAGGTGCTCTGGCCAGTGTGTAATATATAATTGATAAATAAAACAACATAAAAATAACATTAAAATTAAGATAGGATAAAAAAATACTTTCCCCCAATATCGCTATTATTGTGAAGGTTTTATACTGAATTCTTCTGTTTTGTTCTCCAGGATGTTAGGCAGTATGGCTTCCATTATCCCTGAGAGGAAGAATGCACATCACAGTATCCGCCAAAGCCTCGATTCGCATGACAACGTTGAAGTTGAGGCTGCCATTTTTGCTGCAGCCAATTTTTCTGCCCAGTCCAAGTAAGAACAGCACCTGGGATGTGTTTATTGTGCCCAAGTTAGCAATCAATTAATCCTTGATATCTCAATAGACTTTTACTTACATTATTTTCTTATTCATTTCTTTTCATGATTTTTTCTGGGAGATGGGTTGTTTAGCGGTATGAAATATAAACAATAAAATAAACTTTAGCAATTTTTGCAAAAGTGTCAGTACAGGTAGCTCTCAGCTTACAACAGTTTGCTTAATGACCATTCAAAGTTAAGTAGCACTGAAAAAAGTGACTTATGACTGTTTTTTACACCTAGGACCATTGCAGCATCCCCACGGTCACATGATCAAAATTCAGATGCTTGGCTACTGGCTCATATTTATGACGGTTGCAGTGTCCCAGGGTCATGTGATCACCTTTTACAACCTGCTGACAAGCAAAATCAATGGGGAAGCCAGTGCTGATCTTTCACTGCTGTGTTCCCCTATAATTTAGAGGAGTGGCGGGGGGGGGGAGACTAATAGAGTGAACCTCACCAGTGCTTTGTTTTATAGATTGTTTTGTAATAAAAATATTGTATTATAAGTTACTAATAAATTGCTAATTAAGATTGAGTCATATGTAGGAAGTGAACAAAATATAAACCAGGAACTTTATCGTTTTGACTGAAATAGTATTCTTACTTAGAACTAAAGACCACAGAATTTTGTGAAATATATTTCTGACATCAGGAATAGAAATGTTTTATTAATTTCTTATCTGTTGCACGACACTATTTCTTACTGACATTTAGAGATGGGTATAGTTCATATTAGTTTGTACTATACAACAATGAAGTTGTAGTTTTTTTGAACACTGAAAACCACTAATGCCAACAGTCATTTAACTATGCTGTAGTGGCAACAGTACAAATCTTGAAATATAGTATAGCATTCTTGGGAGCTTGGTAATCTCTGACTATCTTTACCTCAGGTCAAGCAGAGAGGGAGAGACAAGGAGATAGAATGAGTAATGTAATTAAATAATTAACTAGTTTATTTTTTAAGGCTTAATGTTGGAAGCCTACATGTAAATCCTAGTTAATGCAACTATTTAGTATAGTTGACTTACCATTTTCTTCGGTGTTCTTGGTGTATTCATTGTTTTACGTACACTGATTTACAAGCATATAAACTTTAATCTGATGATATCAGGTCTAATAGTATGCTCCAAAAGAAAATATCACACTGTCAGAATTTTCACGGTTTATTCTTATTTTGATTCATTATATTTTTCCTTCTTGACAGAGATTTTGCAGGAGGAATATGTAACAAAATCAGTGAAATGATTCAAGGTATATGTCCTCTGGATTTTCTCCTTGCATATCTGTGCCTTTGAGAGAGTTTTTAAAAAGTGGTAATTCTGTTATTTAAAATATTTCAATTTTGAAGTAAAATTCTGGAAATGCTAGCTTAATCAAAGGATGAGGATTTGCTGGGTAAAAGTTTTGTCCATTTTAATCATATATCTGCCTGGATGCATCACAAAGTATTTCTGGGGTTGGTATTTCAAGGAAACATCTCATTGTAGATATTGTGAGAGGATAGTTGTGTTAGTCTATGGTAACAAAATCAGGAATCTGATAGCACTTTTTCAGATTAAAAAATATTAAATATTAAATAAATTAATAAAATAATTTATTAATGAATAAAATGCTAATAAAATGTGCTCGTTTGTAAAGATTCCTTATGATTAAAGGGAATCTGTGTTTTATTGCTAATGTTGTATAAAAAGACAAAACTTGAATCCTGATGGTTTTATGGACACATCCAAGTACAGTGAGGAAAAAAATATTTGATTCCCTGCTGATTTTGTATGTTTGCTCACTGACAAAGAAATGATCAGTCTATAATTTTAATGGTAGGTTTATTTTAATAGTGAGAGACAGAATAACAACAAAAAAAATTCAGAAAAACGCATTTCAAGAAAGCTATAAATTGATCTGCATTTTAATGAGTGAAATAAGTATTTGACCCTTTCGCAAAACATGACTTAGTACTTGGTGGCAAAACCCTTATTGGCAATCACAGAGGTCAGACGTTTCTTGTAGCTGGCCACCAGGTTTGCAAACATCTCAGGAGGGATTTTGTCCCACTCCTTTTTGTAGATCCTCTCCAAGTCATTAAGGTTTTGAGGCTGACATTTGGCAGCTCGAACCTTCAGCTCCCTCCACAAATTTTCTATGGGATTAAGGTCTGGAGATTGGCTGGGCCACTTCAGGACCTTAATGT